ATGGTCATAAATGCCTCTGTACGGAACTAAGGTCTCTGCTGCAGGCCAATTGACTTCATCTGACATAATTTTTGGAATTTTAACAAAATGTGCACTTTTCACTGGTGGTCTGATGTTTTCATTCCTACCATATGAGATAATGTCTTTTCATAAAAAGCAAGTTGAAAAATTAATCCTTTTTTCCCCTGACTAACCAACACTGTTTCAACCAAGCATTAATTATGCGGTTATTAAATTAAGAATCATCTAGTGGCAACCAAAAAGCTGTGGGATTCTTTCAATAATTTTTTTTAAAAAGTTTTCACAGCAAAAATGCAACTCTCAATTGCTATACATACGCTGGTCATAAACTGTGGCTTGTTCAGACTTCTTTCCCTTGTGTTATAATATTGATATTTAATAGGAAAATAAACTACATAGACTCTTATCTGTATGCATCCATTTGCAAATTTCCTTACAAAAGAGGACAAAGCACATAGGCATTCACAAATTCTATGCCATTTCTGTTAAAATTGGTATCTATACATTATATTACAGTATTAACAATTTGTCGTTCTACCCATTGGGTAGGATATGTGCATAATATATTCAAGTTATATACAGCACCTTACAAATAAAAACATAGGAAAAGACAGACAACTGAAAAAGCACCATTGTAAGTGAGGCACAACCAAGGTGGGGCATGGGACTCAGCGGTAGGGAGAGGCACCTTCCTGGATCTGGGCTCTCCAGACAGGAGCTAGATGCCTTGTTGCTGAAAAATGATTGGCATGCTTGGAAATAAAATTGAGATTGAAGTGCTAAGCATGGCTAGAGTGTAGTCATCTTTGTCTAGAGCTAACCCCCTACCACAGCACACAAACACACGGCGCAAGGAGAGAGGAGGAAGGGGGAGGACAAGGCGTACTAAGCAGGGTCTTCCTACACACGGACATCAGCTTCCTGAATCAGCGAGGTGAAACTCAGCAGCAGCAGCAGCACAGGACCAACCCTGGCATCTCAATGATCCCCGGGAACTAATATTATGGAAATGGAGGCAGAAACCCTTCTTCCTAACCCTGGCGGTGCTCCCCCAGCAGGCCACACTCAGTCCTGCTTCTCATTGTCGCGGGAACAGGTGGCAAGGCCCAGAGGGAACTGTGAGTGAGAGTCATGGAGCTGGTGAGTTTTCTCTGTGACTTGGGGCAAAACTCATTTCTGAATCTGTGACCTCAGTGTGTAGACCTGGGCTTCCTTGCACCAACTACCGGCTCGGTTTACATCTGAATCCACCATGGTGTGGTTACCCGGGAGAGCAGAAGGCATTCCTGCTTCCCAGAGAGAGCTGGGGACATGGGCTGAGGTGGCCACAGGCGGCACGAGTATGTCACCACACAAAGTCGCATGCCAGGTGCTGGCCTATTTCTAGTGTTTGTCATGCATACTACCCAAATTAATACCAAGGTCTGGGATCCTTCCCAGGTTCTTCTGTTTTCCCCCTTTCAGACACTGTTGACTTCTGGGGATTTTGAGATAGTGAACAGAATACCAGTTAACCTGGAGCTGATGATGGCACTCTAGGAAGCAAACCTGAAGCAACAAACAAAGACCTGAGACCACCTCCCACCCCCAGATTCTGGCTCACAAGCTGGGTGCCAGGGACTCACAAAGCTTTAGCTGCAGGCCTGGGGGTTTGGGGGATAGTGAGGAGCAGGGAGGCCTGATTGCAGGTATGAACCCCATGCACCTAGAAGATGGCTCTGAAGGGTGCTCCAGGCTAAAGTTCTGGACCCCAGGGAGAAAAACAACTGGATACAAGAAACTCGATGCAACTACTGGCCTGGCAGGAAAACAGGAATCTGGTTTCGTCCGAAACAGAGACGTTTTCTAAAAGTGCTTTTGAGCCCTTCTCATGCTTCTAAAGAGGAAAGAAAAGTGCTGAAGAGGAAAGGAAGATTAGTAGCAGCTCCGAAGTGCTCATTGGGTGCCGCCTTCCTATGCTGGTGTTGGAGGTTTTGACTTCTGCTATGTTCTCTGGTACCTTGGAATGTTTGTGGCTGGTACGCCACGTGTTCAAGTGGTGAGAATGGGCAGAATGTGTGCTTTGTCAGTTATTTGAACCCAATTTGGCAGCATGTGAAGAATAGACCAGTTATTAGAATGATGTGTTTAGCAAACTCATTTGACTTCGACTGCTTCCGTATCTGAAGAGTATTAGAAAAGCAAATAGATGACTTCTGGGAAAGCAAATAGGTGACGTGAAGAAGACCATGTTCCTCGAAATTAGACTCCAATAGCCTTCGGGCTCCATCAACCCAGACCTATTTGAGACAGTGGAATCGCTCTTCAATGCAACACTGCTGAAACAATAAACCTGTCACTGATTGCTTTAATCCAGTTTTCTCAGTTGGACCCCCAGGCTCCATCGGCAGCACATGGTTTCTGGACTACAGGCCTCCAAGAGTCTGCACATCTTCACTCCCACCCTCCTTCTACACCCTGTCAGCAGGTGGCGACAGAACACAGACAGGTCAGCCACAACTTCCCCAAAAGCTGCCACTCTGAGTCACCTTTCCCTTTGTATAGCAGGAAAATTGATTCAACTTACAACCTTGGCTCTCAAATAAAATCATTACAGAGGTCCAGCCTCAGTCACACCTTGATGTGAATGAATATTTAAAAAATGAACTCCAAGGGCACTTCTGTGGCATAGCGGAGTAGGAGGAACCTTTCTCTTGCAGGGCCTTTGAAAGTGATTTGAAATGTTGTTTTGCCAATACTGTGGACATGCAAAACATTTAAGTACTTCAAAAAAAATGTTTAAGGTGGACAGGGATGAAGGCATGTACCCGTTTCTTATCTGAGGGCAAGTAGAAAAGTAAGAATTGTTAAAACTATTTTGAGCTTGAGCTGGGTTGGGCCCACCACGTGAGGCAAATTGCAGACGAGACTGGGAGGATGACGTCATCCTCTAAGCTCACACGGCTTCAGAGCGGTGACCTGACTCATAATCCACCCAAGTACCCAGTTGGGACAAGTGCTTCCTGATTGCATCCCACAAGGCAGATCTCGGTTCCACGCTGCAGGGGGAGACCCCCAGGTGTTTTGTAGCACCAGCTGGACAACCAGGCATCAGCCAGGCATCAGGAGGCTACTGACACAGCAGGAAGGCAACCTCAGCTCCCAAGTCAAGGTTCCACCACCCACCCTCTCCACACCTCAGTACACTCACCTCCACATGGTTTGCAGCATGAGTGACCATTGCAGCTGACCTAGCGCTAATGCCAGTATGTGAAACAGATGAATCGAATGGAAATCCCACTCCTCCAAAGAAGAGCAGAAAAGAAGACCCTATGACCAAGAAAAAGTTGGAGGAAAGAGCAGAGGGCCAGGGCCTAGGCTGTGGTCTAGAACTATCCCTCCAGTTTCCAGTCCATGGCACCATCACCTCATGGAGACTGCAGGAGCCCTCACCCTTGTGCTCAGCACAATGCTCCATGTCACTGCATTGTTCTACTCACTGAATCAAGACCATCAAAGACCTCAGCACAGAGCAGACTCCAAGAGGTCCTGCTCTGGGGAGCACTGGCTGGCCCGACTTGCCAGCTGCTGCTACATAAACAGATGCTGTGTCCACAGAAGAAACTTATTTATTGTCCATAAGAACACGTGTTTGTAAATATCAGGAGTAGTAAAACTAACCCTATAGGAATTTCTTAGTTACATTTGAACTCTGGGTTGTGCTTTTTTTTTTTTTTTGTCCTGTGCTCTTAAAGTCACTTCTCACTCTGCAGAGCTTGGCACTGGTCTGCTTCTGGCCAATGGCCAAGGCTTAGAGCAACCTCCACAAATTTAGGTGGGTTTGGGCACTGCATTCCTCCAGGAATGAGGCGCTGGCACTGGTGAAGTGTGATGGCTTTTATTATGCCAGCAACACAGTGTTCCTCACTCAGCTCCTGGGGTTTCCCCAACAGGAAGAGCCGCTCCTAGTTGCTCATCCATGGGCAGGAGGGGAGTGGCTGGGACCCTCAAAGACAGAGTGGTCTCCAGGACCAAACTGACCACGGTGGGAGGGGGAGACACAAGGAGCTATGCTGAGAAGTCACATAGTTCAACAGTATTCCAAGTAACCACCTTGCATTTCAAACAATTTATTGCATAAAATAATGTATGTATCTGAGTGTATGCTTCATGCTACAATGAATATAAAATAAAAAAAAACACAACACCTAAATTACTTAAGAAGCTGTACTGTGGGGGCTGAAGGCAGTGCTGCAGGATGCTGGAGACGGAGGTGCATGTTGATAAAATACGCAGCCCAAGGCTAGCAGAAAAACTCAATACATCAGAAATGCTGGAGTTTAGTATTTCCTACCTTTACCCCAAAGTCTCAGAATGCTTCGGCGAGGCACTGCTATTTGCTACAAATCCTTGCAACCAAAGTGACTTTCTTGATTTCTGTTAAGTTGGCATATGCTATGCTATAGCCCTACATTATCTTTTTCTTGCGTGCGTATGGGGAATACTCCAGAGTATTCCTTGGGCCTAATAAGAATCCACAGGTGAAAAGACAACATACAGAACTTCACATAAAACAGTTCCCTCATACATATTTTAAACATTTAGTAGTGCAACTTTGAAAAACACATCACAACACAAAGTAACTCCTTGCATTCATCTAACTTCTCCACTTGATACCTTGGCACACAAAACAGGAATTTTTGAATCATATTTTTAAAACAAAATAAAAGTTCCACACCTTGGGAGAAAAAGCAAACTGGCCAATTCTTCCCCATGATAATATATAATAATGCTTCCTTCTTTATTCAGTTAATTATAAAACAGGCCATCCTGGCCGCTTTCTCTACAAAGTCTCCTTTCATAATTAAATAAATCAAATACCTCTTGGGGTTTTGTTTCATGATATCTTAAAGCATCCCTTTCTCTGTTGTACCCACGCCCACCCTTTGCCAAAATCCTCCCCTCTCCTCCCTACCCCCCACCCCTCCCCCCTTCCCAACGCCTGTTCCCAAAGAAACACTGTTTGCGGTCAGACCCGATTGAAGTTTGTAGGATTTCACTTTAGACTGCATGCAATTCCCCTGAAAGGAATCAGAAACAAAGACCACATTTGCACATTTGGTTTTACTTGGTAAAACTGAGCAACACGGTGCGGAGGGGCGCCCTTGGCCGTGCTTTCTCGTCTCAGCCCAAGTGCACGCCAGGAGCGGGACTCAGACGAGGTTCCCAGGCTTCCGGTCCTTGCCCTGGAGGGTCACCACGGTGCTCCCGGAGCCGTCGGGCTGGAAGGGCAGTCTGCTGCCGCGGGGGGCGTGGCTGTGCTGGTGATGGAAGAAGGAGGAGCCGGGGTAGTGCCCCATCACCTCGCTGTACGTAGGGGGCGGCCCCTCCATCCTCCCGTTACTGCTGCAGGTGCTGGCGCTGATGCCCGAATTGCTGCTCGGCGGGCACGGGCCCCCGTGGTACACAGAAATGTCGATCAAATCGCTGTCGAATATGGTTCGGTTGGGCGGGGCCCTCACAGATTCTCGGTTGAGTTCCATCTGCTGTTCAGGGTCCCGCAGCTGGAGGGTGCAGGGCCCCTGGTACGGAGGCGGCTCCTCCCCGTCGGACAGCGAGATGGTGGGGGGCAGGTCAATCTCGTGCTGCACATAGGGGTAGGTGGGCTGGAAGCGGCTGAAGCGGTCCCTCTGGATAAAGGACGGGGCAGTGAATCTGTCCCGGGATCGAGGGGCGTACATGATCTGCAGGGAAAAGGAGAACGTTGCTCGATCAGTTACTTACTGAATAAATAAACTGTTCAGGGGGCCCGGAGAGAGAGTGCAGCGGGTAGGGTGTTTGCCTTGCACGTGGACAACAAGGTTTCAAACCCCGGCATCCCACATGGTCCCCGAACCTCACTAGAAATGATTCTTGAGTGCAGACAGGAGTGAGCATCCCAGGTGTGTTCCCCTCAAAGAACAAAACACCCCCCGCAAAAGGGTCTAAATAGGGGTCAGAGCAATAGTACCGCGAGGAGGGTGCTTGTCTTGCATGTAGCAGACCCAGATTCCACCCTCCGCATCCCACACGTCCCAAGCTCCACTAGGAGTAATCCCTGAGCACAAAATCAAGATTAAACTCTGAACATCGCTGGCCCCAAAATAAAAGCAAGCAAGCAAGCAAACAAACAAAAATATATGGTCTCAGTGACTGTTTAGTCTTTTTCATGTCTAGACTTCTCTATTTTTTTTTTCTGCTTTTTGGGTCACACCCAGCGATGCACAGGGGTTACTCCTGGCTCTGCATTCAGGAATTACTCCTGTTGGTGCTCAGTGGACCATATGGGACACTGGGAATCAAACCCAGGTCGGCCAAATGCCCTACTCTTTGTGCTATAGCTTCAGTCCCTTCTCTAGTTATTCTTTCTGGATAAACGTTTTCTGGAGTTTTATTTTTAGGAGATGATAAAAATATGCCCAAAAGAAAACACGATTATGGTTTGTTTCCAAAATGAATGCAGCACTGGTAGGGTGCTTGCTTTGCACGTGTCCTACCAAGGTTCCATCCAGGCCAGCCAGGAGTAATTCCTGAGTACAGAGCCAGGAGTAACCCTTGAGGACCTCCAGATGTGGTCCCCAAACCAGAACCAACCAAACAAAAAGAAATGTATTCAGGTACTGTATGTCTTACATAACTCTCTCATCTATTTTACAATCCATTTTTTCCGAGATGAACAATACGTTATACACACAAACATATTATAAAACATGTGTATCTCTATCCATTTACTTCTCTCACATTTATTAGCATATTATGAGATCATGTAAAGATGAGTGATTCTGGGAGCTGGAGCAATAGCACAGAGGGTAGGGCATTTGCCTTGCACGCTGCCAACCCAGGTTCAATTCCCAGCATCCCATATGGTCCCCCGAGCACCACCAGGAGTAATTCCTGAGTGTGTGAGCCAGGAATAACCCCTGTGCATCACCAGGTGTGACCTAAAAATAAATAAATAAATAAAATTTATTTAAAAAATGAGTGATTCTCAGCGTCTTTGCTTTCTGGGTCTTTAGCACAAATAATTCATAGGAAATTATTAGGAAACCCTTTCCTTACCTTTTAAGCCTAAATCAGAGGCATGGGTTTTAATTTAATATTCTCTTAGTCTCCGTTTAATACACTGAACCATTCCAAATTTTGTTGCAATTGTTTAATTCTCTCCTCCCTCCCATATACACATGGGGTCAGCAAACACCTTCTGCCACATGCACCTCCACCTCTGTCCACCACTTACCTCTGAAGCACCTGGTCCAGGCCCAGAACTGTCTGATGGCCACAGGCGTCCTTCCTGGTGGGATGTGTGGGGCAGCAGGAAAGAAAAAAAAATCACAAGGAAATCTTTAGATTCATAAAGCAGCATCCCAAATTATCCTTCCCTCTCTGAGAGCAAACCTACTTTAAGACAGAAAACAAAAGAAGGGTTACCTTTTTACACTTAATATCACAATGGGGACTGTGGAGAGTTGGATTAGAGAAAGAGCTAGAAAGGTAAGACCTGGCTATAAGACATGTGAAGCAAACTGAAATTAGAGAGATCTGAAGACAAATATCTTTCAGTTTTCATAACTCAAGATGGTCCACAAACTACATTGAGTCATGCCACGCTATGGGTAGAGTTAAGGAGACTTAAGGTCTTATGTGGATAATTCTTCCCCCCAAGTCTACCCCAAATGTGCCTAGGTCCACTGATTGGCATCCAACTTGAAAACTAAGGTTCCAAAGCTTGAATGTTTTACCAGCATCTTCTGGGGGTGTTTCTCCTCCAGTATCTGTCATCTAGTTGCTTAACACTTTCTTTAAAAAATGTCTGGATTGGGGGCTGGAGAGCTACCACAGCAAGTAGGGTGCTTGCCTTGCTTGCAGCCAACCTGGATTTGATCCCCAACATCCCATATGGCCCCCTGAACTCTGTCAGGAATAATTCCTGAGTGCAGGGCCAGGAGTAACTCCTGAGCATCACTGGGTATGGCCCCAAAATAAAAACAATCAGAAAAAAGTTTTGTCTTCACCCAAACGGAGAGAGAGAACACAGGGGATTGCCCTGCCACAGAGACAGGGGGGATGGGGGGATGGGGGTGGGAGGGATATTATCCATGGTGGTGGAAAATGGGCACTGGTGGAGGGATGGGTATCTGATCATTGTATGATTGAAACCAAAGCACAAAAAATTGTAAATCTACAACTTTAAAAAAAATAAAATAAAATAAGGGGAAAAAAAAAGTTTTGTCTGACTAACAAGGCGACGAGTAGCCAGTAGGTATCATGAAAGGCCATTTTTCAATAGCTTAAATTTGTTAACAAAGAATTGCATGTGTTGGTTGGGTGTTTAACCAAAGGCCTGCAACTATAATCAAGAAAAGTGGGGAACTAACATGCTAGGGGAATGGGTATGCCTTTTTCTGAGGGAGGTTGGGGGTACACCCGGCTCAGGGATCACTCCGGAGATCATATATGGTGTTATGGATTAAATTTGGGCCAACTGCATGCAAAGCAAGCACCCTACCTAACTAGACACTGTACTATCACTTTGCTCTCACCTTCCTCACACTTTTTTGATTCCCAGGGATTAACTTAACTTAATCATTAAAAATTCACATGATTTTGTGTGATCAGTAGCCTCCCAGAGTGTCACCCACAAGTACCCTCAGTCTAGACACAAAGGTCAGTTATCTTGGCTCTTTGGTAGGTGTCATTCCAGTTCATTTCCTTATCAGTGATGAACAGTGAGCTGCTCATGGGATGTTGAGCTGGGCCTATGCATTCAACCAACTCTGGCGTGAACACAGGACTAGCAGGAAGATAATAAATGAAGCCAGCAGAATTTAGGGGAACTTTGGGTTTAAGGTCTTGGCCATAAGATTCTGAATGGGCCATGGCATCATTGACATTGCAACAGGTAACTGACCCAAGTTGAATATGAGGAAGTAGCTGTCTAACCTCCCTCTCTCTCTCTCTCTCTCTCTCTCTCTCTCTCTCTCTCTCTCTCTCTCTCTGTCTTTCTCTCCTTTTGTGTATTATGGTTCACAAAACAGATACTAAAAGTTTATCATATATATTCCTTTACCTACTTTCAACACTCAGTTCTATTTTTTTAAGTGAGTACATTTAGTCTGATTTTATTTAATGTTAGTTTTTATTTAAAAAATTTTTTTATTAGTGAAACACCATGAGGTACAGCTATAGACTTACAAATTTTTGTGCTTGGGTTTCAGTTATACAATGATCAAATACCCATCCCTCCACCAGTGCCCATCCTCCACCACCACGGGTCCCAGCATCCCTCCCACCCCCCTTCCCCCCATCCCACCCTGCCTCTGTGGCAGGGCATTCCCTTTTGTTCTCTCTCTCTCCTTTTGGGTTCTGTGGTTTGAGAGAGAGGCATTGAGTGGCAATCATGTTTGGTCCAAAGTCTACTTTCAGCATGCTTCTCCCATCCTGGGAGGATCGTCCCAACACCCTTTATTTGGTGCTCCCCTCTCTATCTGAGCTTCCTTTTCCCCTAGCACATGTGGCTGGCCTCCAAGTCAACACTCAGTTCTTGTCCAGAATGATCATTTCTCTTTTTTTTTTTTTGACCCAGCGGTGCTCAGGGGTTTACTCCAGGCTCTGCACTCAGGAATCACTCCTGGTGATTCAGAGGGGAACCATATGGGATGCCGGGGATTGAACCCAGGTTGGCCACACGCAAGGAAAATGCCCTACCTGCTGTACTATCACTCTGGCCTCCAGTGATCATTTCTAAATATTGTCATACTGGTCCCTTCTCTATTCTAGCTGTTCTTTGCCCCTTCACCCCCGCCCCCGCCCCACCACCACACACAAACTTGTGCCAAGCTTCCAACCATTGATCAGTCCTCCTGCCCCTGTTCTATCTGTCTTGGATATTAGCCTCATATTATTTTTTTTATATCCCACACATGAGTGCAGTAATTCTATATCTGTCCTTCTCCTTACACTTAAACATTGTTGGTGGGAATGTCTAGTAGTCCAGACTTTTTGAGGAATGGATATTCCTCAAAAAAACTAGAAACTGAGCTCCCATTTGACCCAGAAATACCACTTCTGGGAATATATCCTGGGGACCCAAAAACACACAGCAGAAATACCATCTGCATTTCTGTTTATTGCAGCACTGTTCATAATAGCCAGAATCTGGAAACAACCCGAATGGCAGAGAATGCAGGCTTTCTTAAGAAACATATTATTCTCAAGTCACTCCTTTATATCTCTAATTAGTACCACTGATTCAAGTTACATTAAAACTGAGTAGGACCACATATCACTCCAAGATGATTGTAAGAAGGTCATCTAAACTTGGGAAGGAATGGGGGGTCTGAGAGGTGGCCCCTCCGTGTGCACTGCCTTGCATGCATGCTTCTCACTTTCTAACATTCTCCCTGCATGACAGGTAACATCAATTGTCTAATGAAAACTGAATATTAACTGGATGGATGACACAGCATGAATCTGTCAAGACAAGTCAACTCTGAACTGGGAAAGCCCTTGGCGGAATCATGGACCCCTGGTTTTCAATCAGGAGGCTCGACTACAACCACACTGTACATTCGGAGAGCCTGGCAAGCTATTGAGAGAATTCTGATTGCACAGCAAAGCCTGGCAAGCTCCCCATGACATATTCAATATGCCCAAAACAGTAACAACAAATCTCACAATGGAGACATTACTGGTGCCCACTTGAGCAAATCGATTAACAACGGGATGATAGTGATACAGTGATACAGTTTAACAGTGATTTTGCTCTGCTTTTAAACTCCACCCTCAGTGAGGCCATGAGCTGTCTGCTGAGATTGAAGAGAGTGTCAAACACCAGCAGAACTTTGGTTTGCCACACAAGGCCCAGATCTTCCTGCTGTCATGTCATGGTAGAGAGGTGAAAAAACCCAACTTGATAGCATTTCCTGTTGTGATGAATACTGCTTTCACTGTCACTGTTCTTCCGTTATTCATTGATTTACTCGAGCGGGCCCAGTAATGTTTCCATTGTGACACTTGTTACTATATTTGGCATATCGAATATGTCACGGCTAGCTTGCCAGGCTTTGCCATGCGGGCAAGATACTCTCGGTAGCTTGCCAGGCTCTCCGAGAGGGGCAGAGGAATCGAACCTGGGTCGGTCAGGTCGGCCGCGTGCAAGGCAAACACCCTACCCGCTGTGCTATTGCTCCAACCCGAGTTTCTACTTTATTTTGGATTTTTTTCTCCTTAAAGTCAAATCTTTATTGTGAACAAATAATGAATTTCGTCCTCCTCTCCTGCTAATGGCCTCACAGCCAGGCTGATCGATGACCATCTCTCAAGAAGTTGAGATTTTCCTTCAGAATCTATAAGATTGGGAACAGAGTGTGGATTACCAAGACAAACTGAGGGGGACAGCTTTCCCCCTGACACAATGTCCTCCATCTAGATCCACAGACAATACAATCACAGACATACACATGCACTATCACATGTTCAGAGGTTGCCTCTGATGCAAGTACTTGGAATCACAGTCGGGTCCTCCAGCCTCCTGGAACCCACCAAGACACAGATCTACTGATCTCTTAGCCCCCCGCCCTATGGATGGGCTGGTTCCTGATCAAGGGGCTAGACCAGGACCACTGTCAACAGTGAATCTTTAGACAAAGGAACACAGGACAACTCCAAATCTTGCAGGCCTAAAGTCAAACATGATGAAAATTTGCTTCACAGTTTTCTCTTCTGGGGGGTCAGTGGAGAACCATTTTGACCAAAGATATTCCCATAAATTGAATTTTCTTGACACAAAAACATTGTCATTAAAGATTTTTTAAAAAATCACTAGAGGGTCAGTGGATAGGGAGCTTGCCTTATACCTGGGCAACTTGGGCTTGACCCCTTGTATACCATATGGTCCCCTGAGCTCACCAGGAGTAATCCCACAGCACAGAGCTAGGAGTAAACCCTGAACTCTCCTGGGGTGTGACCCTCAAACAAAAACAAATCACTGGAGCTTCAAATGACTATCCTTATGATGCCAATGGTTACGATGTCTAATTTTTGAAACTTCGAACATAATGACTAATTTTTTTTTCCATTAAGTTCTAACCATTGCAATATTTTTGGAGGTGGGTGTGAAACCAAAATTGCCTTGTCTGCTTTTAAAAAATCATGTTAAAATATCACTGTCACTGTCCTCCCGTTGTTCATTGATTTGCTCGAGTGGGCCCAGTAACATTGTGAGAATTGTTACTGTGTTTGGCATATCGAATACGTCACGAGGAGCTTGACAGACTTTGCTGTGCGGGCGAG